TGGTGTCGTGGTATGAAAGAAAGCTGCAAAGGACTGGCTTCTGTCGGTCCTTCACGACTCCCTGGTTGGGGTTTGAGAGATGGTGCTACACAGTGGCTAGAGACGTTATCAGATATGGCTCAGAATAGAAGCCAGTGGCGATCCTGCTGTAACCTTCTTTTACTTTCTTCATAAAAAGTGGTTGTCTCCCTTACTTGAAAGATTTCTTCTGATTGTACCTTTCCGTTCCCTCGTTACTACCACACTACCTTACACCAATCTCTTCGTTATCGTTCTCTTTTTCTTTTGCGCTCCTTAGTTTTTTTTTTCTATCTCTCTTCGAATTTTCATTGTTTTGTGTGGCGCATATATATTGGCGCTCTCTTGTACCAATATTTATGTGTTCAAATAAATAAATAAATAAATATAACATTTCTGAATACAACTTGAGTTGTGCATAAAGGGATGAATACTTGTATGCACGTGTCCTAGAGAACTGTACAGCAGCCAGTACAACTAATGCGGTAATGCTTATAATGAAGTAGTTTGGACTAAACTAAATGTAATCTGATAAGTTTCAGGAACCCAACAAATTATAACAGTGATACACAAGTGTCGAGTGAGAAATTGCCGAGGAAAAATGAAAAGGGATATGAGAGAGGAAAACATATGTATAACGGTTGGACAATGGAACAACTATTATGAACGGCCTAGGTAGTAAAAAATTGGGGGGTGGATTAGTGAAGTGGTGCAAAAATGTAGAGTCCATATGACACCCCAAAAATCAAGTTAGGAAAATTCAGCCAAGGGGACTACTGTTATGAAAAGCAAGGCATGATGCACAATATTATTCTTTTCAGTATCATAATTTCAGTTAACGTTTCTACACCCCACCTTGACCTCTTTATTAGATCTCTTGTTCATTTCAATGATTAAGTATGGTAAAGATAAGAACTTTTATGTAGCGAATTATAGGTTACATTGAATAAGTAGAAATTTAAAATAACCCATAGTATCATTGAATTTTCTTCGCTGAATTCTCCTTTTCCTATTCAAAGTAGAAATTTATTGATTTAATTTCTTTCAATCTATATGGTCGTCTGAAATGTATTTTAGCAAAAGTGCTAAATCCAGAATGAGTGCCTTGAATGTTAAAATTACTCCGGTACATAAACCTTTAGTGCTCTTAGGTGACAGAACTTTATGTATCTCCTCCCTTTAACTACTTCAGAAGGATATTAGATGGTGAGACTTTTCTCAAACTCTCGTCACATTAACCAGATAACAGTTTAAAATAAGTACTGTAAAATACAGTCAATCACTAATTAATAGAATAACCTGAGAACAGATAATGAATAACGTAAAATTTCGACCTACTGTCTTAAATAACTGACTGGAATGTGAGGTTTAACAGTTTGTGCTAAGTTTTGAAGAATGTCTTGAAAAATGTACTATTTAAGTTTATGTAAAGGGTATATGTTTCAATTCGGGATATTAGGTTCAACTTTCGTTAAGAGTTCTTAGCTTTTTTGGTTAACAAATTATTACAGATTTGTGTACTCAGTTTGTAGCGACACATTTGCGAGGTACTGCTACTAATACGTTCCACAGACAAGTAGGCAGAGCGAAGTTTGAACCTACTATTCAGTATCGACGGTAATGTTATGACGATAAACCACTAACATACACAGAACTAGAACTACAAAGTTGCGATTCCGCTGTTAACGCATTTCATAAGCATTAGGCAAAAACAACTAAGTCACTTAAAATTACATTCATGTGACTACGAAACAGATTTTGTTACACATGTATTGAACAACCTGATAAGCCTACCATAAATAAAAGTCACCGCTGATTTCATAAATGAATGGTGTGTATCTTTGGCAGACCTATACAAATAACTGATATTTACAGCAGTGAATGTGTTATGAAGAACACCTTCATAACAGCCAAAAAAGGCATATAAACCTGACCTTTGTGACGCAATATTAGTTTACATAGAACACTTAATCGAGTGTTTGCAAATCGTAGAATGAAAATAAACATGATTTATAAACTAAACAGAAGCAAACCAGAAAAAAACACATACGTAGTGTGTAACTTTAATTACACCTACACAAGCACAGAAAGTCAACAATCTTCGAAACTGCCGCCTTGAGTTAGTGGTATGAACTACCGATAGATTCCATCACAAAAATATTGGCCACTGAAGAGCCACCTTGAAGGAATGTTAAATTTTTCAAGGTTGAGTAAATGTGTGGCAGGACGGCTTGGTAACATGTAGTTTTAGTTTGGATTACATTTAGTGCTTTGGAGCCGAGCACGATATGTGACAAATGCCAGCTTAATCTTCGTAACAACAAAGAAATAGGGAAACCTAGCTGGCACAATGCTCCTGGTGGTCAAAAGTATAATCCGTCATATAATATATCTCCAGGATCATTCACGTATGTTTGTTCCTCGCTTAACATTCTCAAAGCTATGATGAGGTTTGGGTTTACTGTGCATATTTTGGATGAATTTATCGCTGTCTAACTCATATATTACAATTCGTATCATTTATTAAAATAGCTTGCATTGGTATTATATCGCGGATATCTGCACTGTAAGGAGGATACATCTTTTAGAAGCTAATGATAACTTTAGTTACCTGTATGGCGGTATTCAGTGAAGCTCTGTTGGTTTAATGATAGTGATTAGTCCTATGAGGATTCGTATATGTATTCACATCTGATTCTGTACATCATTTTATGAGAGAATTCGGTCAAACTTCCAACAAATATTGTGAAGTTGTTATAAAGTTCTACACAAGCCTGTGAGAAACTGTGCTTAAGTAACATTTTATTCAGGTACATAAAGTAATCGTTTTATCGCTAAAAATCTGTACGCGAATATGTCCCCTAAAAATTCCCGACAAATTTTCCCTGCAAGAATATTTTTCATAGAAATTTATCTGAAAAGGTCTCTTCTAAGAAACTTCGGTGAAGGTCTATTTTTCTCCCAGGATTATCCATCCACATTAACTTAAGGTCTTGTGTATGCCATTATATTTTGATAGTATAACAATTACCAAAATCTATGCAACAATATGAATCTCGTCTGCAACGTAACGAAAAATACTCCTATTAAAGAGATTAGTCAAAATAAACTGACTGTTATTCATAATAAACAATGTTAACTTATTAATTACACATAAGTAAGTGTGGAAGTAAATGTTAAGGCTTCCTTATTTGATTCTGTGGTACTCTAAACAGGAAAGCATAAAAATGGTTCAAGTAGTGAAGATAGCCAAACATTTTTAAATTTCATGAAAAGTAATAGTTACAATGACATGGTGCAATAAAAAATTTACATCTGTATTGGTAACATCATTACGTTTTTGAAAAAAATGTCTCACATTTATGTGTGGGTAATAGTATATGTATAACATTAAAAATACACCATTATACTCACTATGTTTACTTCTGAAATCTCGTCTGTTTAATCTATCCATCTAGTGAAAAGATATTTGTTTTGTAGAATGTGAAATCTTTTCAAGATTCCTGTCTTTCAAATTCTGACTGGCTAATGTGGATGTTAGTGTACATCAAACTTAGCACTTGTTACTAGAAATGTGAATTCAACTACATGTTTGTGCTTCATTATGAAGAATACTACATGTTTTTAAGGTTTTCTGTCATTGTTGTTCATTTTAATCGGTCGTTGTTTCATGAGATTCGAGTTTAAATAATCAGCCACACTGCAATAGGCTAACATATTTGCAAATTATATTTCCATAGTGCCGCATATATTAAAATGACAATGATTTATATAGCTAAGAAATAGTTTAACAGATTGTTGCTAGTATCAAATTTGATGTTTGGATTTTTAGAGCTCGCCAAACGATAAGTGGTTGGATATAGTTCTCTGCATTTATCATAGTCATCTCCAAGGAAATCATGATATGAAACTATAAACTACCTCAATGTTCTGTCATTTTACACTTAGTTAGACACCAGTTGTCATATGGACCATTGTTCGAATTACTTGCTGTTCGTTAAAAATACAGCTGTTCATTCGTGAACGACTTAATACGGACTACCATCAACGTGTTACTTTGATGGAGTTTGACTGACAATCATCCTCACACAAAAATACTATTTCATATTTTTAAATTTTATTTAGACCAGTTCTAGTTTCAAACCAGTTCACTGATACAAAGGACAAAGGCCATTCACTTCAGGTGATGCGTTGGGGTTTAATACCTGCGTTTATTCATGGGGACTCGACTTCCACTTTTCACACATTCAACGCTCGTATCGAATCATTATTAGATAAACGCTCTTACAAGTGTTCATTGCAAGAAGGCAAACGATGTGTAGTTGTGGTTCAAGGGTAAGTCATATCCCATCATGCCTGTCACTAATACTGATTAACTTAAAGTTTAGCTAAAAACGGTAGAACTCTGTTAATGCATAGTAATTGGTGCAATAGGCTGTAAGATGTGCTATCAAGAAGGTTAACTGTGATGTATTCACCCGTAACTTGTTGAATAGTTTGAAACACAGTCAAAACGTCAGTTGTCAATTGTCCGAGCCATCTAACCACCCCTCTATTTTGATAGAAGGATATGTCTTTAGAAGGTCAAATCGCATAGTCTGAATTAGTCATCGCTTGTATATCAGTTGCATTTACTCAAAATTTTACTTTACGATTAACCAACTGCCATGCAATAAGGATGTATATAAAATATAAGCATACCTGTGATTAAATTTATAGAGAACGGACCGACGTATTTTCTGCCATGAGAAATTCAGTTTATGGGTTTCAAAACGACAATGA